CTCCAGGGAAATCCCTGTAAGAGTGCATAGCAGCCAAACAGCAGTGCAAGAAATGTCCAGCACACTCATCTTCAGAATCTATATGAATTGCACTGTGATTTATCCTAGATGTCGACTTTAATGCATGGGAAAGAGAGGAGTGAAAATCAAGATGGAACCTGTCAAAAGTTTTGTAGTTGAAGAGCCGATCCAGCCTCCCTTCCTCACTCCCTCCTTCTCTTACTTCCTTTTTCCAAGTGCTGACCATTAGGACACGGCCAACTTTACTGCCAACTTCCAAATTTTAATCCTCTAAAATGCATTTTCTCCTTCAGTTACAAAGGAGCCATCTCAAGGATCAGAAAAAGTCTCCCTGGACTTTGCTCTCATGTATGCAACTGAGGGGCCTGTGTTTGCAGAGCGTAAGATGCCACCTCAGGCAGCCCTGCCACCCTTCGGGGCCAGCCCTCTGGCCCCTGTGTCCAGGCTGAGAGCATGACCACAACGCATGCAAGTACCTCTCCCTGCAGCCCAGCCTCCAGCCCATTCATACCTTTCCGATAATCACCAAACCTTCCCACTGGGGGTTTGTATGGAGAGAACTCTTTCTAACTATTTTTCCCCTCTACTCTCATACCACAGCAATCATCAAACACAGAAGACTTCTGTCACCATACGTGGGGTTTTTTTTACCACACACTCCAAGCAGAGGACACCAGCTGGGTGTCCTCTGTTTGAGTTCCGACACTACCTACATGGAGATAGTGTCAGATCCCACAGGTTGAGGGCTTAGTCCCCAAGACTGCCCCCGCAAACACACCAGTCGAAAGTCCAGACCTCCGGAACTTCTGACCAATCAGCTTCAAGAGGGGATCATGCGACCTCTTCTTTGGGTTTGATTAATTTGCTGGATAGGCTCACAGATCTCAGGGAAACACTTACATTTACCAGTTTATAATAAAGGATATTGCAAAGGACACAGATGAAGAGGCAAGTAAGGTGAGGTATGGGGGAAGGGGTGCGGAGTTTCCATGCCTTCCTTAAGCACCACCCTCCAAGAACCTCCATGTGTCCAGCTATGCGGAAGTTCCCCACACCCCGTCCTCTTGGATTTTTATGGAAACTTCGTGACATCAGCACTCCTTTCCCCAGTGTATAGGGTGGGACCCTCATAGGAGGTCTTAAGATGCACAGTCAGAGAGGCTGGGGAACATTTGAGTGGGAGGAAGGCAGGAGAAGGTCAGAAGCATGACCGTGAGGCCTAACACACCCAACATTATAATAAAAGACTAACGAGGGCTATGGGAGTTGTTAGCCAGGAAGCATGGACGAAAACCAGTATCTATCATAACACCACGGGGCTACACTTATATTCACCGCCCTCTGTGGCCAGCTCTGGGAACTTCTCCTTATTAGAAGTGAACCTCTTGACTGAGGTACACGTTTTTAAGATAAGCGCCCTGTGAAGGATGGGAAACCTGAATGTCTGAACTCCAGAAGCTGCCCCGGAAAAGAAACCCTCTCCAGCCTCATCTGCTTTTTGGAGGCCACAGAGACATTCCCAGACTAAAGCAAGCAGGCCAGGGGCGCTCCTTTTCCACTCCAGCCCGGAGGAAGCATCTCTTGATGTTGAGAGTAAGCTTTTTCCTTACTCCTTATTCTGTATGGAGAAGACTCACATCTTTCCAGCTTCCATGCATTACCTAAGCAGCCTTTATAAGCATAAGAATGATTATTACAACCAAGATCACCTCCTTTGTGCTCAGCCCTGTCCTCAGCACTTTCTGTGCTATATCTACTGAAATCTTATCACCACCCTGTGAAGTGGTCACTAGGATTCTTGTCATACAGAGGAGGAACCGGGGCTTCAAGAACTCTAATAACATTTGAGATGTCATTGTCCAGGGCACAGAAAGCATTTCAAAGCCAAAGCTCCACATGATTACACGATTCAGTCTCCTCAAATCCTGCACAAACACACCACCCCCAGACAGAACAGGGGAGCTGCCAGCCTCCAGAGTCTCCAGGGCTCCCGACTTCCGGGACGCATTCTTGGGCTGTACCGGTGATGTTTTAAGCCACAGAATTGACCTTGGATGAAGAGTGTCCCAGAAGCTCTTCTCTAAGCCACATGGAGTGGCCTTCTCTGTCCTCATCCCTCCTTCTTCCCCCTGTTTGCTTTCTTGTCCCCGGCCTCTGTCCCTGTTCAACTCTGCAGACCTGCTTCTGCACATCTCCAATCCAACACTCTGCCCCTCGTTCCTGACTTCATATATTTGAGCACTGTTTTCTAGGTCCTCCTCCAGGCTGTGCATCAGGACAACAGTGGTCCCCTTCTCTGACCCTTGTGTCCGCTCTGTGCCTTGTCTGGCCACCAATGCACCAGCCAAATCTGTCCAGTAGTGCCGAAGCCCGTTTCATGCTGCTGAGCGGGACAGCTGCTGACTCCTGGGAAGTGCCTTATGATTCCCACACATTCACCTCCATGACCATCGTACTTTCCTCCTCCCAACAGTCCTGGGAAACAGGTCCCATTATTCCCATGTATATGGCAAAGAAACAAAAGCTCAGAGAAGCTGAGGAACTTGTCCCTGGTCTCACAGCTCCTGAAGGGCTGCGTGTGTCCTTGCACCCAGGTCTGCTGAGTCCAGTGCTCTTGGTCTTTCTGCTTCCCTGCTTTGCATAAACACCGGCCCCTTCACTGAGGCAGGGCAGGGCAGGTAGGAGCACACTCTAGGATAAATTCAAGTAGAAAGACCCCTCAGTAATGACCCTGCAATATGCTCTGGCACTGACAAAGCTGGAAGAGTCCTGGGAACCAGGCAGAGAAGCACTGGAAAGAGGCAAGTTGAAGCTGAGTGCTGAGGGCCCCGAGGGTCAAGGAGTCTCGGAAAACAATGGTGGGGGTGGGGGGCACGTGCACACTGGAAGGAGGGACACGTGCAGACAGACAAGGGACTTGTACACAGATCAGCATTCGGGTTTGACCTTAAAGACAGTAGGGGGCAGGGAGGGTTCTTGAGGAAGGCGATGCTGTAAGGAAATGTTGGGAGAGGAAGACTGTGTGGTCAGTTGTATAAACAAGTGCTGCAGAGGGGGAAAGCCTACAGTCCAAAAGCAGCCGGGGAGGAGGAGGTCATTGCAATCATCCGGCCTCTGCCAGGAGGAAGCCTCTTGCCGGGTAGGTGAAGCACTCACAAGTCTTTTCCCTAGTTTACCACATGATCTATCTGATGCACAAGATAGGAAGGCCATAGCTAGGAGAATGAGAAGCCAAAATGTCTTGCATTGCACCCCAGGCCAGGGTACACAGCCCACCTCAGTTGCTGGGGTGGGGTGGGGGAAAAAAGAGAGTCCCATGGGAGGGGGACCTCACATTGTAGCTCTTTCTGTCTCTGCCAGTTACAGGGAGAAGCTCTGAGGTTTTGCTTCTCTGAAGGTGACCCACATGACACTGGCATCAGAAAATAGAGGAAAGTCATCAAAACATACATTCCCAGGCCCAGCTCCAGCACTAATGAATCAAAATTTCTTGTGGATGGTGAGAAGATCCCAGTCATATAATCTTTCTTTAAAAAAAAAAAAAAACCATGATTTTTTTAGAGCAATGTTTTTAATCAAGGTTCACCAAAGAAACAGTCAATAGGAGATATAGAGAGATAGATAGATGATTGATAGATAGATACCTAGATATACAGACAGATGATAGATAGATAGATAGATAGATAATAGATGATAGATAGATAGATAATAGACAGACAGATAATAGATAGACAGATAATAGATAGCTAGATGATAGGATGATAGATGATATATAGATAGATGATAGATAAATAAATAGATACATAGATGATAGAATGATAGATTATATATATAGACAGATAAATAGATAGATGATAGATGATATATACAGAGATGACAGATAGATGATATATGGATAGATGATAGATGCATAGATACATAGATGATAGGATGATAGATATATAGATTGATTGATAGATAATAGATAGATAGATAGATAGATAGATAGATAGATAGATAGATAATAGATAGATGCTATAACATCTGTGTGAAGGCTTTTGTGTGGTCATAAGTTTTCAACTCATTTGGGTAAATACCAAGGAGCACGATTGCTGCATCATATGGGAAGAATATGTTTCGTTTTGTAAGAAACCACCAAACTGTCTTCCAAAGTGGCTGTACCATTTTGCATTCCCACCAGCAATGAATGAATTCCTGTTTCTCCACAACCTCACCAGCACTGGGTGTTGTCAGTGTTCTGAATTTTTGCCATTGTTATGTGTGTAGAATGTGAACTTTTAACAAGCTCTCCAGGTACATCTCACACTTTCTAAGACTGAGAGCCACTCTCCAGCGGTGTACCCACTATCTGAGAAATTGGGAGTGACTTTGCTGAAGAAACTGGAACTTCAGAAAAGCAACCGCAGGATCTCTGGAACTTTGGCTGAGGTTCTAAGTCCCAAAGGACCTCAGGATCTGCATTTCATTTTGTTCTGCAAGATGTTAATAACCACCTAGTAATGCCTCAGCCTGGGGAATCAGAAACTCCTGGAATCTACCAGAAAGCTTGTGAAGAGTCCTCAGGTGATGGCAAGGAGTTGTTTCATTTGATTGGTTTTGTTTTTGAAAAGGTTAGGTTCAAACCTCCCAATGTGTATTCCAGCCACCCTCAGTCCATACACAGGATGCTTTCAGCTTTGGTTCCTGTCAGTTATTGCAGGAACATAAAGCAGCCATCATGCATAGCAGCTTCAATCTCAGGCACTCTGTGAGCTTGCCAGAGTCATGATCCCTGGCCCACCCCCAAGGGCCCGGTGACGCACGAATCTTGAGTCAACAGCTTCCAGCACTGAAGAGGCACTGGCCTTGAGCCACCTATCTCCAGCACATGCCCAGCTGCCCCAGGGCTCATGCTTTATCCTTGGAGGACTTGGCGGCCTCGTGGCCTGCTCTTATTCAGCTTACTGAGCGTGGTGAGTGCCCAGCTTCCCTTTCAAGGGCTGAGCAGAGGCTGGTCCGCCTACAAAGTTAAAGCAACTTTAACTGAACTGTCTTGCAAAGCAGTCCCAGGATCTGTTCATACTCTCTGGACATTAATTGCTCTCTGTGGTGAGTGACCTTTCTCTTTTTTATTATTATTTTATAATTTTATTCTATTTTAATATTTTTTTAGAGATGAGGTCTCACTCTGACACCCAGGCAAAGTGCAGTGATGTGATCACAGCTCACTGCAGCCTCCAACTCCTGGGCGATCAAGCGATCCTCCCACTTCAGTGTCCCAAGTAGCTGGAACTACAGACTTGTGTCACCAAGCCCAGATAATTTTTTTAAACACTTTTTTTTGTAGAGACAGGGTCTTGCTTTGTTGCCCAGGCTGGTCTCAAACTCCTGGCTTCAAGCAATCCTCCCACTTCAGCGCTGGTTAATGGGAATTGGTGGGATTTGATCTCAGTTTCTGTTCTTGGTTTGTTCAGTGTGTCTAGGAAATGGGGTTAATGCATCTACGATAGATCAAAAAGAATGCACTCATTTCAACACGAATAAATTGCTGCAGCCTCATTCTGCTAGGGCGGTGGAGTCCTGATGCTTCCCCCTGGCTACTCTGAAGAACAAGACCAAACCAATCCCTCCCTCTCTGTTTGGGTCAGTTTTCGTATTACTGAGGACACCATACACCTCTAGGGGAGTCACTTCAGCAACAAGCCTGGCTCAGCAGATTTAATTTAAGACAAGCCTTAATAGGTACGTCATAGAGGAGAATCTGCCAGACAGACTGAAATCTGGGAAAAAGATCTGTAGGCGAGGCCACTAAGACCCCACTGCAGCCTGGTGAAAGGAGAAACTCATTTCCCCCCACCAGGCCCTAAGACAGTCTTTTAAAGTAGAATAGACTCAACAGACATGGGATGCGGGGAACAGAGCTGGAGCCTGGTCCCTGCTGAAAGCAGGCATGCTTTAGTCCCTTCATTCCTTTGGACTTAGAACTTCTATTTTCTCCAAAGAATAGTCGGTGCAGCCAAACTCTAACCCAGGAAGTGTAAGCTCCTCTGCCAAATGTGGGAGAGCTGCTTAGGATGACAGTGATGGGCCTGCTGCCTTCATGAAGGATATCAGTAGGACCCTAAAAGAGTAGAGCCCCTAATGGTGGCCATGAAGCAATCCCAGTGTTTATCTGGACCCTCCTGTAAACCCAGCTGTGCGGCTAGCTCTTCCCGCGTCTGGAAAGCCAGGCTGCGGCTTACGAGACAAAGAGAAGTTTCCTCGTCATGAGAACTATGGTCATGATCATAGTTCAGTTATTCATATATCTAGTGTGACTTTCATTCAAAGTGAAAGCTCAGCTTGTTGTAGGCAGGAAGCACGCACAGAGAATGGCAGAGTCCTAGTGAGTCTGCCTGCTGGGGCTGCCCAACACAGTGGCCCAGGCTGGGTGGAAGGCTGAGAGCCAGGCGTTGGCAGGGCTGGTTTCCTCTGAGGCCTCTCTCTGGCTTGGAGATGGCCATCTCCCGACGTGGGCTGTCTTCCTCACGTAGTCTTCCGTGTGTGTGTGTGTGTGTGTGTGTGTGTGTGTGTGTGTGTGTCCTCATCTCTTCTTATAAGGACAACAATCGGGTTGGATTAGGCCCACCCTAAAGACCTCATTTTATCTTAATTAGTTCTTTAAAGCCCTTGTCTCCAAACAGTCACAGTCTGAGGTGCTGGGGGTTAGGACTTCACCATGTGAGTTTGAGGGGACCCAATTCAGCCCCTAATGCCTCATGAGCTTCTCTCCTTGCTGGCATTTCCACCCCCATCTCTCTCTCACTCTGACCTCTCCAGGACCACAGCAGGGATGGGCAGCGCTGTACCAGGCAGGGAGGGACTGCGTTTGTCGGCCTGAGATCCAGCTTTGGAATGCTGGCCCTGGCCCACAGGAAAACTGTTTTCCTCTCAGGAACATCTTCTTGGGTCCTTGGGGAGCCTCTCCTGATTTCTGGGAACCGCTCACCCCCAGCTCTCTTGATGAGGGTGACGCACCATTCATGTAGCCACCATCCACTCCCTTTCAGCCCTGGATTCTCAGAGGCTCACATCCACACAGGGCAGCAGGAGGACATTCTTTGAGGAGTGTCGAGGGCAAGGACATGGAGGAGAGCCTGGGCCTGCTCTGTCGCGTCCTCTCTGCTGTAAACACAGGTGCATCCCTTCCCAGGGTGGACAACTTCCCACCGGCACTCTTGGTCTCACTCCCTCTCCCTCACCCCCGAGATTCCACAGGCTGGGGCAGACCAGTCCACTGTGTCCCCATCAGTGCCCCGCTGTGTCTGCCTAAGGCCCTTCTCCCTAAGCTAGAGGAGAAGAGATGTTCTCTACCCTCCCCACAAGGGAAAGGACTGGCTGCACACACTCCAGAGAATTCTTGTCTGGGCACGGTGGCTCACACCTGTAATCCATCACTTTGGGAGATCAAGGCAGGTGGATCACCTGAGGTCAGCAGTCTGAGACCAGCCTGGCCAATGCGGTGAAACCCTGTCTCTACTAAAACTACAAAAATTAACCAGGTGTGGTGACGCACGCCTGTAATCCCAGCTACTCGGGAGGCTGAGGCAGGAGAATCGCTTGAACCCAGGAGGCAGAGGCTGCAGTGAGCCGAGATTGCGCCATTGCACTTCAGCCTGGGTGACAGAGTGAGACTCCGTCTCAAAAAAAAAATAATAATAAATAAATAAATTCTCCAACTGCCCGAGGATCTCTAGCCTCTTTTCTAGGATGGCACCACACTGGGTCCAGAGACCTCTGGAGGGGGCTGGCTCCCATCTTTGGAACATGGGGGTGCTGGGTACTTACTGACTTGTGCCTCATGTGAGACTGAGGCAGAATCGCACATGCGGACATAGAGTGTGGAAGAATAGCCAGTGGAGGCTTGGGAGGGAAGGTGGGGAGGAGGGTGAGGGGTAAGGGGTTACTCAATGGGTACAGTGTACATTTGAGTGACAGTTACACTAAAGCCCAGACTTAACCACTGCACAACATATTCATGTGACAAAACTGCACTGCACCCCTTAAATTTATACAAATAAAACATATAAAAATCAAAATAAGTAAATAAATAAACGCACATTATCAGGGTAGAAGTGGGGTGGGCGGGGAAGCTGGGATCGGCAATCACTCTCTGTGGGCTGATAAGAGAGAGGTAGCTTTTTCCTCCTAAACACGGGACTCTGGGACCAGGCAAGCCAGTGCTGTGGGCTCAGGGCTCTGTGGTCTGAAGACCTTCACTCCCATAGGCTTGGTGAACCGAACCATGCTTTTCTATGGCATGTACTCAATCCTATTCAAGGACATACCAGTTAAAGCAGCAAAACATCATCACATTATGGACTGGGCACAGTGGCTCACGCCTGTAATCCCAGTCCTTTGGGAAGCCGAGGTGGGTGGATTACTTGAGGCCAGGAGTTCAAGACTAGCCTGGCCAATATGGTGAAACCCCATCCCTACTAAAATTACAAAAATTAGCTGGGCGTGGTGGTGCATGCCCGTAATCACAGCTACTTGAGAGGCTGAGGCAGGAGAATCACTTGAACCCAGGAGAAAGAGGTGGCAGTGAGCCGAGATCGTGCCTCTGCACTCCAGCCTGGGCGACAGAGCGAGACTCCATCTCAAAAAAATAAAATAAAATAATCACATTATGTTTTAATATGATTAATAATAATCACATAAAATGTTTATAAATACATAAAGTTCAAAGGAAAAACATAGGCCTGCAGGCAGGAGAGAGCACATGTGAAGGAGTATGGAAGAGGAGTGGGCACCCTAGCCCACAGGAGGGCAGAGGGAGCTTGAAGGCAGCCAGGCGAGTCCACACTCAGGAGGCTGTGTTTTATCCACGGGTGACCTTCTTCCAAGGGTTGTGAATCTGTTCTGACATTGCCTTAAACATACTAAATCAAATGCTCCCTCTCTAAGTCATGGTGTTAAACCTTCCTCAGCTTACATCATCATTCCTGATGTTTGAAGCTAAAGATCCCTTTTAGGCTTGTCTGTTCTTTTATGGAGGACATGCTATATGTCTTTTCTAATCCCAGAAAACTTGGATCCTTTTTCCTTGATTAGAATCCCTGGCTCTCCCTTTTCTCTCCCTCTGTGGATGGATGCACCAAGCATCAGAAGTCCCAGAGCCTCCACATTGCTCGCAGCTCCCTGGGTGCCTGTCACCAGACGGGCTTTCTCCAGTCGGTCTCACTTACCTGACTGTGCTCTGGTGTGGAAGGGAAGGAGTGAAGAGTGAAGAGAAGACCAACCTTTGAATCCTGGTCATGACTTTAGTCATGCCTTTTCCTTTGGGGGGCTGGACTTGAATAAGCTCAAATTACCATTTCCTCAGTTGGTGGCACAAGAGCATCATCTGCTCAGATGAGGCTGGCTTTTGCGTGCAGACATTCATTCTCGTCTGTGCCCTTTATCCCTGCCCCCAGTCCCACCTTCCCATCATCACACTCTCTTACTATGGATCAGCACCCTCCCGCCCTCCCCCAATGCCTGTCTGTGTGTAAGTGTGCATGCACGTGTGGCTACCAAATGTGTAGTATTGCTTTGTATATATTTGATTTACATAAATAATTTACTGTCTGCCTCATTATTTAACTTTCTTCCTTCAGCATTATGTTTTTGAGTTCTGTCAATGTTGAAACACTGATGTTTAGTTCATTCCTTTTATCTCCCCCAAGGTCATTTAGATGGAAGAAGTCCCTTGTCCTCACTCTTAGGGGCTGGTGCTCAGGGAGGACAGCATCTAGGCAGAGTCATGAGAGAAGGGAGGTCCTTGCTGGGAGAGAGGACAGCACGAATGAGGGACTGGGTGTGTCACCAACAAGGTGCAATCGGAAGAAAAATACTCAAATTACAGCAGGCAAGATTGAGATCACCTGTAAGAGGAAAACCTTCCTGGCATCCAGGCTTACTGAATTCTGGACTCGATGGAAGCCGTGACGGGCCTCTGTCTCACTGCCTTTAAACAAAGAGCAGTCTTTTTTGCAAGCAGACTAACCAAATGGCTTTCCTATTCCATTGTTTTCTGATTCTTGAATGTTCCATGCACAACAAGAGAACTTGCTGTCTAGGGCAGCGAG